AAACTAGGATACTAAAATATTAAATATTATATTACAATATATATTGTAATTAAACAATTTTACTGTATATAATAATAATAATAATAATAAAGTAAATACTGTAATAATTGTTTAATAATATATTAAAAATAAATACAAATTTATAACACTTAACTTAATTTTTTTTATCTATTAATATCATGGTAACTGTTATAAAGTAGTAGTAATAATAATAATATTGATAATATAATTACAAATTTTTGAATGAAATAAATAAATATATATTGCATAAAAACATATGCAGAAACTTTTTTTTTTAGTTTCAATTTATAATTGAAATAATTTAATATATAATCTGATTAAACAATAATTGTTGTTAGATTTATTTCATAAAATTTTGACATTTTTATTTTGTTTTAAAATTTATATTTTAATAATAATAATAATATTATTAAAACTTATTAAATTTCAAAACTGTTATAATAAAAATTTATATTATACACTAATTAATTATTATTGATTTATAAATAGTATTAAATATAGATAATTATTTAAAAAAAAAAAAACTTTAATCAAAATATTTACGATTAATAACATAAATATTTGTCAATATATTTGTAAATTTGTAAACATTTTTTTTTATAAATTATAATATAAAAATATTTAAATATTTTTAATAATAATACTAATATATTTAAATAATTATTTGTATAATTGATTATTTAATTAAACTTATATAAATAAATATATATATATATATTGTCAATTATTTATAATCAACATTTATTTAACACTTATTTAAAAATATTTATAAAAAAATAAAAAATTCAGTAAATTTTTAATTAATTTGTTTATTAACAAATTTTTAAAATTTATTTGTCGTCCATTGAATAAAAATATTAATATAATTTATAAAAAAATTATTTGGAAATAATTATAAATATATACATAAATTGATGATTTAATTGATAAAATGATTTAATATGTGTGTTTAAAAAAAAATCATATGAATAATTTTATAAATAAACTAAATTAATTAATTAATTAACTAAATAATTAATACATAATTATAAAAAAATAAATAATTAATTATTACTATAATTAAAATAATAAATAGTTTTTTATTTATATATCTCAATCACAATCACAATCACAATCACAATCGCAGTCACAATCACATCCGTTACAGTCAAATAAACTACAGTCACACCCATCCCCATCACACCCACCCCCACCATCACCACCACTACTATTACTACTATCCCCACCAAAACAACAACACCAAAAACAACAACAATCGGTGTTATCGCCGCCACCGTCACCGCCGCCACCGGTGAACAGGTATACGTCGCCACCAATTGGATCACTATTGGTAAACATAGACGACTGTTGCGGTGGCTGTCGGGTAATCGGCTGCTGACCATCTTTTTTTACCGACGGCTGCTGCTGCTGCTGGTCATCGACGACGGTATTAATAGGTATTAATTCTTCGGCGGCACCATTGGTGGTGACGGTGTTGTCGTTATTATCCATTAAAAAAATTTAAAATTTTTAAAAATAATTTATAACAGAAAAAATATATATAAAAATATTTATTATTTATTATTAATTTTTTTTATAAACTAATATAATATTATTTTTTTTGTTGCAAATTATTTTCGTAATAATAATAATAATAATCAATTTTTATACATTTTTTGTGATTATATTATTACACTATAGTATATCAATAGTTTATACATTAAACATTAAATAAATAAATTTAAAAAATATATTCAACTATTAAACAGTTAATAATAGTTAATAAAGTAAAATAAAATAAATAATAATATTATTTTCATTGAAAACATTATTTATATATATATCATACTGTAGTATATATGTTATCAATTTATTTAATAAATTATCATAATATAGTTATTGATAACATATACAATGATAACAATAATAATAATTGCATACTTGTATATAAATTATTATTTAAAAAATTAAAAAAGTTAATTGTTTATTATATTTATGATTAAATATATCATCAGGGATGCGCAATTATATATATATATATTTTATTTTTTGTGTCTTTAAAATAAACAATTATAATTTTAATTAAATATTATATTATAAACATAGTTTATTATTTATATATATATATTAAACTACTAATTAAAATAAACTTTATTTAAAATTTAAACAATTATTGTTATTTTTTTATTATTGTTTTATACATTTTCTATTATTTATAATTTACGATAATTTAGTTTATAAAGTTATATATATAAATATATAATTATTAAAAAAAATTAATTACATTTTATTATTTTGTTTATCAAAAAATTTTCAAAATCTATTTGTTGTGCATATAATAAAAATATATTAGTATAATATATAAAAATTTATTTGTGTTACAAAAATAATTTTAATTTATACTAATAATAATTATTATTATTTGATACATAAATTGATTCACAATAAACATGATTTAATATCATATTATAAATCATATGAATAATTAATAAATAAATAATAAATAAATTTAATGATAGATTATTGATGAGAAAAATTCTATTAAAATTTTATAAAATTAATTAATTAAATAATTTATTTTTTTAATAAAATATTATTTTAAAAATTACAACCACCACAGTCACACCCACCGCAATCAACACCACTACAGTCACACCCACTACAGTCACACCCACTACAGTCACAGCCACTGCAATCACAGGCACCGCAATGACCACAATGACCGCCGCAATGATGGCCACCACCACAACAGGCATCGCCAGCACCACAATCACAGTACGTACAGTCGTAGGGTTGGCCACAACATACCGTACAACTATGGCCATCAGCGGTTATCTGGTCACATGAACACCGGCACGGGAACAGTACTATACGGCCAAGTAGTTCGCACAGGTTTGAACAACAACTACTATCATCACCAGTACTATAGCAACAAAATAGACAACAATCGGTATTACCGCCGCTACCGGTCATATAGACTGGCGGCGGTTGACTACCGGTAAAGTTGTTGGACGACTGTTGTTGGGGCTGTTGTGTGATAACTGGCCCATCGTTACCAACGTTTCTTTGTTGTTGATCAACAATTTCGCTACCGATTGTATTAAACGATATAAATTGTATACCATTGCTATTATTAGCCATTTAATAGTTTTAAATTTTCAATTAATTAATTAATTAATTAATTATTTTCTTGATTTTATTAGATATAATTTTGATATATTTTTCGTAATAATATTGATTTTTAAAATAGTTAATAAGTTCATTGTTTTTTTTATTTATTTAATTAAAAAATATTATTATTATTATTATTATTAGTTATTAAATTAAACATTGAATTAAATAGAAATCTATTAAACACTTTAATTATAAAATTGAGATTAGCTTTAGTATTATTATTACATTTAGTTAAACACTACTAAATATATATATATTTAATATATTATTATTAATTTTATTTAATAATAAAAATATTATTATATTCAATATATTATTATAAATTTTATTTAATAATAAAAATATTATTATATTCAATATATTATTATAAATTTTATTTAATAATAAAAATATTATTATATTCAATATATTATTATTAATTTTATTTAATAATAAAACAATATTATTATATTATATACAGGTATATTTATATTTATTAATATTATATGTTTTTAATACAATGTGAAATTTTATCTACTTAAACATAATAATTGTACTAGGATATTATTATTATTATTATTATTATTATTGCATACAATATTATCAACATTATAACAATTATAATTATAATGGTAGAAATGTTGTTGATAATTATTTATTTTTTTTCATATCATATGTTGCTATTAACAACCAATGTTTTTGTAGTAAAATCTCCCTGGATAATAATTATTATTTTTTAAAAATAAAATAAACAATTAATCGATAATAACTAACTAATAGTTTTTTAATAAAATATTATTATATTATTTCGTTAGCAACTGTAATAATAATAATAATAATAATAATAATAACAAAAATAATTTATTTTTTATATATTTAATTAAACAAATAAATTACACAAAAATACTGTAAAATAACTTTCAATATATCCTTGAAATAATAACAATAATCATATGACTATTAATAATAATAATATCATATAATCAGTTAGATTTCACCTATAATTTAGATACAGTATATGACATCAAAATTATTACATAATTATTGATATACAAAGTGTGTGAAAATTTTTTGATAAAATTTAATTATGTCTATTAAAAAAAATAATAATAAACTAAACATATGTTTTAAACACAATTTACAATTAGTAGTATTATTATTATTAAAATAGGATATTAATAGATGTGTGAAAAATAATTATATTAAATACTAGCAGCTATTGCCTAATAGTTTATTTATAATAGTTTATTTTTGTTGTATAATATAATATAAAAATGTTGATAAATTGCCAAAAAAAATAATTAATTGAATCAAACCATATATGACTTATATATATATACTGTATATTTAAATACACTAAATATATTGTATTATTATTATTATTAATAGTATTATTGTCAGTCAAAGTTTAAAGTCTATTGATTGATAGTTATAGATATCTTAAAAAATATTTGTATATTTTATTACCCATTTTAACCAAACATAAAAATATATTAATTTTTTTTATAAAATAAAATATTAATCAAAATTATTTGTGTTTTTAATTTTTTGAAAAATAATAAATATCATTACAATTAAATCTATATAAATATATATATACAATATACTGTACTAAAATAAAAATATAAACTATATAAAAAAATTTTGTTGTTGTACTGTAAAATAATTTTTTTTAATATATATATATATCATATTTGTGTATTTTTTATAATTGTCTCAATTATTAAATATAATCATAAATAAAAAAAAATAAATAAAATATAAAACAAAAATTATATAGTTGATATTAAATAATTACAAAAAATTTTAAAAATAAATAATTAATTAATTATTTTTTTAAATGTGTCATTAAAACTGGTCGTCTAATATGTCTTTCCAAAAATAAAAACAATCACCAATTATCGGGGGGTTATTGGCATAGTTGAGCCGATACTGGTCTACCCAAACCGTACCCATACGTTTGCTATCGGGATTCAGCTCTAGGTATGTAGCGTTAACCATACCGTCCCGATTGGTACTGTACGGTGGCCATACATTTCCCCGGATTTTGGGGACATACCTACAAAAAAATAGTCATATCATCAATAAGTATACAAACAATATATATATACATATATTAACAGGAAATTACCCGTATTTAGCAAAATATATCCAAATATCCATAACATGTCGGCTAAACCTGCGGTCATCATCTGTCCAGTAGCGATGATCATTGAACGGTGCGCCAAATACCAGTGCTATGTCATCGGTATGGGTATGATTAGCCCATAGGCTGTTCCTCGATATAGAGTACCTGTGCGTCGATGTCATCCTATACTGATAGACTCGGCCCCGGAAATCCCGGTTATTGGCAATATGTCCGCCAAACAATATGGTCGGACACGTAAGGAAATAGTCGCCAAATGCATGTACGGCTGCACTTCGGATGCCATCCCTGTCCAACCGATCGGGATCGGGGTCAAAGGTTTTGGTAAATTCATCGGCAATACGTACACCGATGGTATCGTTGTCGAAGAAATACTGGCGTATATCGTTGGCGACTAAATCGCGGGTTATACGCGTGGGTTGGCCAACAAACGGCAAGTATCGGCCGGACATACCTTTGACAATATCGAAAGCTGCGGTAAACAGTAGGCCCTCCATTTCCACATGACCCATGAGGATGTGGACGTCTTTTTTGAAGTCACCCTGCTTGACGGCCCGGTTGACCGATATCGGTACGTATTGGTCACCGAAAATGGGCGTAAACTGTTGTATCCATACCGTGTACCACGGCTTAGACGGATTGAACAGTATGGATAGTACCTGTGCCGTCAGTAGCTCTTTGGCCGGTTTGCGGCGCAGACACTGAATCCAGGAGCTATCGTGCGGACAGTTGCCGCTCAGCGGAAACAGTAGACGATTGGATGCAAATCGACGGGCAATCCGATAGGAGTAGTCGGTATCGCGCGAAAATAGTTTGATATATGCCGATCCTATTTTAGGGAGAGAAATTATGAGTTCCCCCCTGTAATCAATAGGTTCAATAGGACACACACATACCTGACTGCATGATAGCCCGTTTGAACAGATGACGGGTAACATTGGATACGATATGATTGCTTATGGATATACTGCCAGCACTTTCGCCAAACAATGTAATCTCGTCGGGATTGCCGCCAAACGTACGTATGTTATCGCGTACCCAACGTATGGCTACCGACTGATCCCAGAAACCTTGATTGCCCGGACAATCGGTACGATTGCCGTACAGAAAACCGAATATACCCAAACGATAGTTCAGGGTTACGACCACTACATCCCTGAGCGCCAGTTGTGTCCCTTCGTAAATGTTATCGCTGGTCATATACATGGCACCGAATTGACTGCCCGAACCGATTGTAAAAGCACCGCCGTATAGCCAGATCATTACGGGCAATAGATTGGCCGATGATGATGGTCGGGACCGGGGTGTCCATACGTTCAAATACAGACAATCCTCGGACATTGACCCGAACGGGTAGTCAACAACAAACGGCTGTATACATGGCTTGCGATACTGGCGGGCATCGATGGTCACGGGTCGGGTATAGCGAAATGGTACAGGTTTTCGGAACCGCAGCTGACCTACTGGTGGCAGTGCATAGGGTATACCCTAAATAATAATCATAATAATAATTAGTATTATATTATATCCAAACTATTGTTTGTTTAGTTACCTTAAATGAGTAAATATTTTTATGGCCACTACTACTACTACTACTACTACTAGTCGATAGGCTGGTAGTCTTAACCGAGTCCCGACATCCCAGATAGGTATGGCCACCGTTATCCGATACAACTTGGGTACGGCAATCGGTTGGCCGGGGATAACAGTGGACAACACCTGATAATGATGATGACAACAATAATACGGTAATAATTAAATTTAGTTTTATTATCACTGTCTGACCACACGTGGAGGACCACATGTTTTTGATAATATCAACTAAACTAATAATAATAATAATTTTAAAAAAAGTTAATTTTATTTTATGGACACATTTTTATAAGAGATATTTTTCAAATAATAATTTTTTTTGTATGAAAAATATAAAATTCAAAAAATTTATATCTAAAACAAGTAATTAAGTGTTTTTAAAAGTGATGATTGAACCAATAAATTAGGTTTTATTATCTTTTAAGTTTATATATAACATATATATACTGTATATCAAGTGCTTATCTATAGATATGTATTATTTTAAGTGTATTTAAATAAATTTGTGTTTAAAATTAAAAGTGTTTTTGTTTTAATTTGATCCAAAAATTTTTGATAACATATAAAAATTATTTATTGGCTTAATATTAATCCTCTAAATAAATAAATAATATATTTCTTATATATATATATATATATATATAGATTTGTACTGTACTTAATGTACTTACAATTTTACATTATTATTATACATTTATTTATATATATTTTTATTGTTATTCTTATACTGTTATTATTAATAATAATTATATATTATATATTTATTTAATTTTATATCATGTATTTATATGTATTATATAAATTTGCTATAATTATTATACCTGTATATATATATATACAGTATTCAATATGTATTATAAATATTATTAGTAGATACAAATATACAAAACTTTATTACAACTATAAGTTATAGTCTATAACTAAACTTTATATTTACAATATATATTTATAATATACTTATAATCAATAATTTCTGTTATTTAAACAAAAATTTTCAGACACAAAGAGAGAGAGAGAGAGAGAGAGAGAGAGAGAGAGTAATAAATAGTGTAATAAAGAGAGTAAAGAAAACATACAAAAATATTCTGTGAATTTCATTTAAAATCTAATGAATGCAAGTTTTTAAGACATAGAGAGAGAGAGAGAGAGAGTCGTAACCTCCAGATTCATGACAACACAGCGCCGCCAACACAACCATCCAAACTATAGATGACATTGAAATACATTTATAAAAACTCAAAAATAAGGTTCACTTTTATAAATAAAATTTTTAAAAAATTCAGACAAATATAACTTTAAACACTATTCATCAGTACTGACACACACATACATACATACACATACACATACACATACACATACACATACACATACACATACACATACACATACACATACACATACACATACACATACACATACACATACACATACACATACACATACACATACACATACACATACACATACATATACACATACACATACACATACACATACACATACACATACACATTCACATACACATACACATACACATACACATACACATACACATACACATACACATACACATACACATACACATACACATACACATACACATACACACACACACACACACACACACACACACACACACACACACACACACACACACAGAATATTGAATGCCTATAACTGTCTATTTAAATATAATATAATACTGTTGTATAGACTTTAATGTATAGAATTTGAAGTTATAGTAGTGTAGTGTTGTATTGGATGACTGACTCAGACCTACACCTACACCTACAGACCTACCAGTGCTGCTGATGGGGATTGGATTAGTGCCACTAAAACACTACTACTAACTATTATTATTATATACAGTATACAGTAATATCATAAGTTAAAAGATAAATATAATATATATTTTTGAAAAACATTTAGTCATTCAAAACAAAAAAAAATTCTTCAAAAGTCAAAATAAGTCTAAAACTCTTTGAAATCAACAATTTTTTTCAAACTAAAAAATTTCAAAAGTCATTGAAATAAAAACTTGAAAACAGTTTTTTGTTGTTTTTTTAGTTTTGCCCAAAAAAACTGTGATTTTTTTAGTTTTTTAAGTATTCAAAGTGTTTTGACAGTAGTTTCAAACATCATCGACAACTCATTGGTTGTATTATTATTATTATATTTAAATTTTTAAATGAAAAAATTTTATGTGACATTTATGATGATGATGTTTTTTAATTAAAAAATTTATATTTATTAAATAATAATAATAATAATAATAATAATAATAAGTAAAAACTACTTTAAACTAATGTCAACAACAAATTAGTTAGTTTTGAAAACTAATTGCTAAGAAAAACTAAATTGATTGAAACAAATAAATAATAATAATTTGTTGTTGAAATATATATTAATTTTTCCACTAAAAATAAAATAATAATATTTATTTTAAGAAAAATTTTTTAAAAAAAAAAAATAAAATCAATGTATTCATCAAACAGTTGGTGGAGAAACCCATCGCCCAGTTGTACGCCAAATGAATTGATTGAAATCATTACTAAACCAAATAACGGTTACTATTATCTACCGAAACAACCCTACAATGAGGTCTATCCTAACATTTATATCAGTGATGGGTATGAAAATTATAATTATTATTTTAATTTAATTTTTTAACTAATTATTTAATATTATTATCGAAAACAAACTAAAAAAACTAATGTAAAAATATATTAAAGTAAATTTAATTTCAATAATATATGTACTAAAATCTATAATATTATTAACTTTAATACAGTATATAATACAGTATTAATAAAAATTCAAACACGCATTTAGTAATATATTTATAAATTTAGTAAATTTTTAATTAAAACATTATATATTAAGATATTATATATATATTAAATTTTTAGTAAACCGATAATAATTATTAGTAATAAAATATCAAATATTAGTTAAACAAATAATAATAATTTAGATTTTGATAATAATTATTATTTGGATAAAAATAATAATAATTTAGATATAATAATAATAATTTAAATATAATAATAATAATTTAAATATAATAATAACTATTTGAATAAAATAATAATTATAATTAAATAATTATAATTATAATTAAATAATAATAATTATAATTAAATAATAATAATTATAATAAAATAATCATAATTATAATTAAATAATAATAATTATAATTAAATAATAACAATTTAAATAAAATAATACAATTTAAATAAAATAATTATAATTATAATTAAATAATAATAATAATAATTAAATAATAATAATTATAATTAAATAATAATAATATTCAATACATTACTGTATATATATACAAAAACAATAGGACAACAGCTATATGTCTGCAACTATTGAGACGATTGGGTATAACACACGTACTGAACGCCAGTTGCGGTAAAGACCGACAGTTCGGTTTGGTCAACACATCGGCCGAATATTACCGAAGTTCGGGTATCGAGTTTCTCGGCATTGAGGCACTGGACATATCAATCTATCCGCTATATCGACATTTTGAAAAAGCGGCCGATTTTATACACCGTGGTCTACAACATAGCGATGGCCGAGTACTGGTTCATTGCGGCGAAGGTATCAGCCGATCGGCTACATTGGTTTTGGCCTATTTGATGATCAAACGGCGATTGACGGCTCAGGAAGCCGTCGGCAAAGTGGTCAGACAGCGATCGATTTTCCCGAATATTGGATTTCTACGGCAACTGTGCGAACTGAACGACCAGCTTATCAGACGACTACCTACTCATCCTCCGTCACCAGCAAAGTCAAGGATGATTGGAGGTATCGGCGGTGGCGGCGGCGCTGGCGGTGCCGGTGATGGCCATCATAACGGTGGCGACCATCACACCATCAAACAACATATAATGATCTGATTGCCATTTGAATTGTTGTTATGTAGCGCCCCATACCTACTACATGTACCAAACTATACCTCCCTAACCCCCCCCCATTACCCAACCTAACCTCGCCTATCTATAACTTATTTTACATTATTATCTGGTAATAAGCCATACATTTATATACACAATACATAAGTTATGAATTACCGGTAATTAATTAAAAACATTTTCAATCAATCTATCATTTTGTTGAATGAAATACTATTTGCGTTTACATAACATAACATAACAATTATAACACATATATAATCTTAAAATAATATTAATTAATTTATAAATAATTAATTATATATCTATATCTATAGTATATGTCATATAATTACTAAATATATATAATAATCCAATTACTTTAAACTATACATTTAATATTATTTTTATATTTATTTAATAAAACTATATTAAGTATCACTGTTACTGTTAGTAAATATTTTTATTAATAATTTAAACAAAAAAAATAAAATAAAAAACACAAAAAAATATAATTTAGATTAGTTTACTAGTACCATAATCAAAATAAAAAAAAATTATATACATTATAACATTTAATAATAATAATCATAATAAATTAGTTTTTAATTTTTTATATCCAATTTTTAGTTAATTAATTAATTAATTAATTAATAGTAACATTTAATTAAATATTACTAATTTAATTTTTCCTAACTTTTAATAGTTATATTTCTCTTAATTTAATTAAAAAAACAATTATATAAATATATAACTATTTAAAAAAAATTAATATATATATATACATACTATCCATTATACTATCTATTTTTAAAATTGTCTAAAAATAAATTTGTTCATTATAATTATAATTAATAAAACATATATTAATTATTATTATTATTGTAAAAAAATTAATTAATAATTTTTTTTAATTGTTATGGATTTAAAATAAATTAGTTGATAAAAAACAAATGTCATATTTTTTTGCACACACTTTCTAATTATAACTATCTGTCAAATATTTCACAAAACAAATTGCATAATAAAAATAATAAAATAATTCAATTGTTATTTTTTCCACTAATTAAACAACAAAATAAATAAAAAACTACTTTAATCTTACCTAATATTTTGTTTGATATTTAGCCAAAAAAATTTTAAATTATGTAAAAAAAATTAAAATAAATTTAAAATAGAGATAAAACATTTGTTAAGATAAACACATTTTTTTTGGTGACAATTATAATAATAGTAATACTAATACTGTTTATTAGTAATACATATAAACTATTTAAATGTTTATAAACAACACACATATGTTTTCAATGTCTTAATAATAATAAAAAATATAATAAAATTATTTTTTTTTTAGTTTCCAGTACTCTATTTAATTTCAACACAAATACTTTTAAAAAATTATTTTTTAAATATAAAAAAAGTAATATTTATTTTTAAATATAAAAATAAATAAATAAACAATTTAAACATTGAAAAATATATGTAATAAAAATAAATCAAAACGTTTTGTGGTTAATAATAATAATAATTATTATTATTATAACAAAATATAACATAATTAGTTTAACATTTTTTTACTATTGTTTAATAATAATGATGATAAAACAATAATGAAAATAAATTTTTTAATTGAATTTTGAACTGAAAAAAAAACACACAATCAGTAATGAGATTTTTGAATCATTATTATTATTATTATTATTATTAAGCGATTAACAGATAAATCTGTAAATTTGTATCTTTGAAAATGTCATTAATATTTAAACAAAAAAAATAAATAATTAACAACAAAACAATCGTAAAAAAAATATTATTTTCCAAATATATTTATAACTTTTATATATGTATTATATATACAGTATATAAGTTATAAATATATTGCAATATAAATATATATATATATATATATATTTATATTGCAATATATTTATAACTTATATACTGTATATATAATACATATATAAAAGTTATAAATATATTTGGAAAATAATAATAGAAATAATAATAATTAAATAATAGAAATAGTCTAATAGGAATTTCAATGAGAAAATTTCTCGGAAATTAAATTTCTATAGAAATTTTACAATTATTATTATTATTATACTATGGAATCCACATATTGTTTTAGAAACTTTCTAGAAATTTCTCTCAATTTTTTTAACCAAAAAAAAATCAACTAAATATATAGATATAGATATACAATGTATATATCAATAGATATAAAGTTTATGTCCAGAAAAAAAAATCAAAAAACAAATCGTAATTATAAGAAAAAAAACATAACTTCAAAACAAATATATTTTTTTTGTCTCAACGATTCATTGATCGTAAAAACGGTAGACCGATGTGTCGGCGCTCAGTTAGCTCGGACTCGTTGAACGGCTGATTGATGACATCCAGTTCCTTGTCGTCCGATTTGAGTACTTCGTATAAGTCGTCGCCGGCTGTCACTAGTGATCGCTGGGATCGGGCGGTCATCAGATAGACGTCTTCGTTGAGTTTATAGTGAATCAGTGCAAACAATTGCCGCAAAAATACTGTCCTAACGGTCAGGATATTCTGGACGCGAACCGATAGATGACGAAAATCAATGGACGGATACATCCGAGGCGATCGTATGGCCAGATATTCAGTAAGCATCTCATCTAATGTACGAAACTTTATGGTTGTCGGTGTTTGCATATATCGTTGCCGATGACCACCAACACCAATACCGCCGACGACTCCTGTTTCCATCACTGCTGCGGCCAACTGTTCGCGATATTGTTTACGCTGTAGACAATAGTCGAGTATACGTAAGTCAATAACTTCCTGGACCTGGATGTCCAACGAATGTTTCAAGTAGTCGGTGGCCACCCTGGAGGCAAACATTACTTTTTGTGTTGAACGCGATTCCAGCCACGGTTTGATTAGTGATGAAACGGCCGCAGAGTTTCGGTGGGCCGTGACGTTCACTACGTAGATGCCGTCATCGGTGGCGAATGACATCCAATTCGGTTGATTGTAGCGACCGATTTCGTTGGCAAACATCTCGAAGCCGACACAGTGTGTCGCCGACATCGACCGTTTGAATGCCTCGACACTATCACTGTCGCTGTCGGTAACCAACAACAAATCGGCCGATGTTTTCACCGACATTTGGCTGGTGTCCACACGTATCAGTTCGTCGTCTTTGTCCAGATCGAGCAATTCGGTACCGTTTTCTTCGACGTTCACTAGCGGTACCACTCGGTTATCGTCGCCGTTGACGACATCGTGTAGTACACCGTTATTGTTGGCCACATCTATGCCGTCGTCGTCGTCGTCGATGCCGACCAGCAATTGATGACCAGCGGGAATCACTATACGATCGCCGAGTCCGCTGCCGACGACGCAACCGTCGATACCATTACTATTACAAAACAAATGGTCAATCAATCAATCAATCGGCCGATTAATCAGACAAACAAACCTATGAAAGCCATTGGTTGTGGTGGCAGCGGCGGCGGCGGCGGCGGGTCGGGTGGCCACTCGTTGCGGTACAAATTGTGTCAATTTCCATTTACGTAGCTCATAGTCGTGGACAACATAATAGCCCAAATAGGTTGTCCGATTCAATCGGGTTTCCTCCAATTCGACCGACATATTAGTACTACCACCGCCGCGACCACCGCCGACCCCACCATCGCCGACTGGTCCGGCATTAAACTTCTTGATCCGACCTTCGGCTCGATTACCCGAATACTCGACAATCGTTACCACAGATCCTTTCAGGTCACGCATTTCGCTCATTGATTCCCGATGTCGGCGCCACCGATTTGTACCGACAATTGATGCCAATGTCATTGTTGTTGTTGTTGTCTTGATGTTGTTGTTGATGATGATAGTGACCACCGATGATGATGATAGTGATGATGAAGACAGTAACTGATCCACACATACACTACTAATGTTATGTCAAATCACATGTGTTTTTGTTTGTCTATTATTATTGAATATTATTATTGTTTTTTTGTTTTGTTATTAATAACAGTATTATTGAATGTATGCAATGTTTGTGTGTATGTAATACTAGTGATGGAAAACTATAGCATTTAGGTTTAGGTTTAGGTTTTAAAAACCGAACCGTATTTCTATATAAAAAAAATCTATTTATTTTGTACAATAAATAATTTTTTTAAAAAAAAACCAAACCGTTATTTTTATATTATTATAAAAATATAAGTTATTTATATATATATATTAATATATCAGTTATTATCTTTATATTTAGATATTTTATGATTATTATTATTATAATTTATTGAAAAAAGTACCATGATAAAAGTAAATCACACATATAAAATATTATTAGATATTATTTATACTGTATGTAATTTTATAATATTTTATTAATTAATAAAAAAATTATTATGTTAGATATATGAATAATTTTATTTTATATTTATTATTAATTTTCAACATCAATAGTGTTATAATTTTTATCAACAAAAAAAAAGTTATCATATGATACCACTTATAGTTAATCACTGATATATATATATATACAGTATTTAAAAAAATAATTATTTGTTGCTTAAAATCCCAAACTTTGGTATTGCTTTTTATAATTTTTTTTTGGTTGTTTAAAAACCCGGAAACCAATTTATGTTTATGGGTTTTATTTAGTTGCTTACCTCTCTAGTTGCTTACTATTTATTATAGTATTGCAATAAAACAATTATTTTTTTGAGCGCATAGTTTGAAAATTACTTTTAAAAAACTTCAAAACTATATGTACAGTAAATACAAACTTTATGTATGACTACATTATTATATAGTAATACTGTACATACAAAAAGTAATGTATAGTTTATATACTGTTTATATGTGTGAACATCTATGCCATAGATTCTATGGTATATAGTATATACAGTACAAGGCATACACACATAGACAGTGTGTATTACACACACATACATATATATACATACACACACACACACAGACATACATACATACATACATACATATACATACACACATACACACACACATATATATATACATACATACACACACACATACATATTGTACATACATACATATACACACACACACACACACACACACACACACACACACATACACACACATACACACATAAAAGTGATATATATTTATTTGTTGAGAGAAAAAAAAGTGAAATATAAACCTGTTTTAAGAGTTTGGACCCAAAAAATAAACTAAATATATATATAAATAAAAAGTTTATATAAACTGTTGTATTAGTTGTTGTATTGTTGGCTATGCCATCACTTCATAGCAGAATTATATATCGATAATAATATTAATAATAATATTAATAGTAATAATAATCTTAAACTTTAATTTCACTTTTACTAACAATAATTTTTTTATAATAAAAAAAACTATTAAACTATACATTACTTTCTAATAGTTAAAGTTATTTCATATTCAGTATTAAAAAAAACGAAAAACTTTTTCTGTTTAATATAATAACTATTTGTTTTAGTAATCATTTAAAATCTAATCGTTTAAATTGTTTTGACTAATAGTATCAACAAAAATATATATATATATTTAAAAAAAATCTTAAACTTTGTGCAAAAATTAATTAATTAATTTTTTTTTAAAAACAAAAAACAGTGTCAGCTATGAGTGATCATCAATATAATAATAAATATGATATGAATTTTATTATTAATATATTGATTACTATTGTGCTATTAATTGCTACAATTATATTGACATTTTGGAAATCAATTTTCGGTGTCAATCGAAAATGTTTGAAAAGTTAGTAATGAATTCAATAATAATAATTTAATTAAATATTAATTTTCAATTGAATTCAATCCATTAGGTCGGCCACCGTCGCCACTATGTCTGCCAATTGTCGGACACATGTATCTGATGGCCAAACACAACGACAATCCGTGGCGCGGTTTCAATGAACTGAGAGGAAAGTATGGTAATATAGTTGGTCTAAAATTAGGACAAATCAAAGCCGTATTGATATCGTCGGCCGATTTGATGCGCGAAGTATTGCTGGTCAAGGGTGACATATTTTGCGATAGGCCATCATTTTTTAGGTATTCCCTTATATTTGGTCGGGACAAAAACAATGGTATGTTATATCTATCTATATATATATATACATATATATATATACTGTATATATATATCCTTAAAATATATATATCTAATATATAAACTAACATTAATTATAATATAACTTTCTCTCTCTGTCTCTCTCTCTCTCTCTCTCTCTGTCTCTCTCTCTCTGTCTCTCTCTCTGTCTCTCTCTCTCTGTCTCTCTCTCTCTCTCTCTCTCTCTCTCTCTCTCTCTCTCTCTCTCTCTCTCTCTCTCTCTCTCTCTCTCTCTCTCTCTCTCTCTCTCTCTCTCTATCTATCTCTCTCTCTCTCTCTCTCTCTCTCTTAATAATCATCAAAATTCAATCACTTATTAGAAATATATAAATTAATAAAAAAATCTCATTTAAATTGGTTTTTAAAAATAACAATATCTATAATAATAATATAAAATAATGTTTAAATTAGTAGTAAAATAGCAATAAAAACATTGGTATTAATTAATGAAACAAATAATACATGTATAAATCTAAATCTAAATTATTTTTTATAATCATCGACACAATCAATCAATATAGCGCTGGCACTGTGCGACTGGTCGGACATACAAAAGTTTAGGCGATCGATGGCTCAGTTGGGTCTTATACCGAAGTTTGGCTCACATTTCTATAGACAACTGGCCAAATGTATTGAAAGTGAAATACAATTAAAAATTGTTGGACTACTGGATGAAAGTCATAGTAAAAAAACTAATAGTAATACTGTAGTAATAAATCTAACCAAACGAGACGTCCTTATCATGTGTGCCAACATTTTCATTAAATACTTGTGCACTAAAAAGTAAGTTATAATTTATTTATGTATTTATATTTAAGTAATTATTATTATTACTAACAATAATTTAATAACTTTTTTCTATCCCCTACTACTACTACTACTTCTACTACTACTACTATATTACACATTATATATCAAATAGTATTAACCAAAAAATAAAAATTATTTATAAAACTAAATAATAAAAACGATTCTCACATTTGTTAAGTAAATTATTTGACACATTAGCTAATGACTAGAATTTTAAGTTTTAAAAATTATTTAATTATTTTTTTTGGTAGAAAATAATATTTATTATTAACATTTGATTTGATATATAACTTATATAATAATAATAATAATTTATATATCCTGTATAATATCCTAACCGGTAATAGTTAATCAAATTAATTAATTATTTTTTTTATTTTTGATTTATTTTAGACCTTCAAGTGATTGTAAAAAATTTTTGGCCGCCGTTGACGACTATGACTATATCTTCTATGATGTTAACCAATGTTATGCCATTGATTTCCTACCGTTCCTATCGGTTCTGGGTCTTCATCGACAGTATCTCAATAGTGTTGAACAATCGGCACTTAGTTTAAGGTATTTATAGAAATAATATAAATAATAAACTTTTATTTGTTGTTTATATTTGTTTTTTTTAAAAAAACTAACTCTTTGTGTACAAGTTTTTTTGTTAGGATATATAAATTTTTTTTGTTAAAACAATTTATAATAACAAACAAAAAAAATCTTTATTATCTATAAATGATTTTTTTTTTGTTTTGTTTAGTGATTGCAAAGTTTGATGGCATTTCTGGTTTTACAAGAGATTTATCTTATATATAGTTAGAGAGAGAGAGAGAGTATAGTATAGTATAGAAACGGGTTATTTAGGATAACAGTGCCTATGCCTATGTTGTTGTACAGTAGCCTATCTAGTAGTGTTGAGCCCCTAGTATTTATTTTATTTTATTTTTTGGGGGTGACCTTTCACATACTGTAGTCACAGCACCCGGTCAAACCCCGACTGTGTCACTAGCCTTGTATGAGAGACTGAGAGAGAGGGGATCAGTAGTTTAGCGGGTAGTTTGTGTGTGTGGCTATCAGTTTTGAATATTTAAAAGACTAGTTTATAGAGAGAGAGAGTAAGAGAAAGTAAGAGAGAGAGAGAGAGAGAGAGAGAGAGAGAGAGAGAGAGAGAGAGAGAGAGAGAGTAAGAGAGAAAGTGAATTGAATGTCAAAAAAAATGTTTGAAAAAAGTTTTCTCTAATTATTTTTAATAATCACTTTCTCTATCTATCCTAAAATAAATAATTCATGCCTCAAAGGGACAGTTGTCTTTTATTTTTAAACTATCCAACAAAAAAAACTATCCAACAAAAAATGCCAACAAGACATCTGATCACTGATACCACATACCGGTTCACTACCACTACCCAATAAGGGTTGATACCAATCACCCTAACCTCCTATACCTTAACAAACAAATTTATTGCTCATATTATTAGACTTTAAAAAATTTACAGTTTTTTTTGTTTTATTAGTTGAAATACTATTTATTAAACTAAAAAAAAATTTAAAAAAATTGTAAAACTGTATACAAAAAAATTAGGTATTTTTAGACACACACATATAAAAAATAACTGCATATAATATATACGTTAGGGACCCCCCCCCCATTGAGTTGTCTACGATATACATACTGTACAAATTTTTATAATATTAAATATTATAATTAGATTTAAAAAAAAAAAAATAAATTTTAAAATGTTTGACAGTCAATGCAAAAATATGGTAATTACTGTTTGATATACAATTAATAACATATTATACTATATATAGAGGAGGGGTGGGTGTGTGTGTGTGTGTGAGGGGAAGGGACTAACAAATCGCATATATTATTGACTTATATATGAATATATATATTAAATATATTATATAATAATAGGAATTACGTGGAAAAAGAGTTGATTGCCGATAGACTTGTCGACACAATTGATAGACTAGAGTCCAGGGGGTCGTCGGCGGCTTCGGGTAGTGTCGTCAACAACGATGATGACGACGATGAGGACAACACCGATACGGACAACTGTCCGACCGATTTCCTGGAGCTAATGCTTGAACACTATGTGGAAAACCCCTCATCGGCAATGTCGTGGCCAATCATGTTGTACGAAATGGGCGATCTGGTTGGCGGCCATTCGGCAGTCGGTAATCTATTGATGCGATTGTTGGGTTGGGTAGCCCTGAATGAACGGGTACAACAGGAACTGTATGAGGAAGCTGTCCGGGCATTGGCCAAACAGCCCAATGATGATCGGCTGATACGGCTGGATCATCGGCCACTGATGCCCGTGACTGAGGCCAGTATATTGGAGACCTTGAGGCTAACATCGTCGCCGATTGTACCGCATGTTAACCGAGAGGATACGACACTTCAAGGTAAGGGATAATTATTTTTTCAAAAATATATTTAACCGGTTATGTCATATATATATATATATATATAGGTTATGACATCGAAAAGGGAACAATGGTATTGTTCAACACCTACTACTTGAATATGTCGGATAAGTATTGGTCGGAACCCCAGGAGTTTAGACCCCAACGTTTTGTATCGAAATCCTACGGTAATGCCAGTCATATAAGCAAACCGGACCACTTTTTCCCGTTCAGCTCCGGCCGTCGGTCGTGTTTGGGCTATAAAATGGTCCAAACAATAGCGTTTGCCGCACTGGCCAATCTGGTACTTAATTTCCAGTTGACTCCCGCCACCGAATCAACTACCGGTGCCGCCGCCGATTCAGGAGCCGATAAAATCCGTAGCCAATTGGCACCAAAAGGTTGTCTGGCATTGGATTTATCAGACAATTGCTTTCAAGTGGCTCTGAGTCCAAGGCCTACCACCACTACCACTACCACTAACACCACCACAAGCTTATCATAAATAATAATAATAAGAGACTGTATGTGTGTATGTCATGTGAAGAGGAACCTCCGATTTTTTTTTAAAAAAAAAGTTTTAGTTAATAGTTGTTATAAATAATAAAATTTTTTATTTTAGCTAACTTTCCCTCAAATAAAATATCACACATTTAGTACAGTATATAATAATAATTTGAATGCAACGACACTACTAAATGTCATAAATTATTTTATATATATTTAAACACTTGACTATATTATAGATTATGATTTTTTTTTTGAAATTAAATTTAATTAAAATACTGGTTTTGGTTTTTAAAAATATTATATTAATATCAATTTTTTTAAAATTTAGCAGTTATTATATATTTATTAAAAAAATTATCTATTAATTTTGACAGTACATTATAATAGTAATAATAATAATATACAATTTACAAATTTAAATAAATAAATTAAGTTTTTATTAAAAAAATAAATTAATTAAAACATGTCTAATTAAATTAAATTAATTATTTATTTAATTATAAAAACTAATTTTAAAAAATTTAATTATAATTTTATATGAAATAATATTAAATGATTTTTAAAAAAAAATTAAATACTAAAAAATTATTATTAAAATATCAACAATTTTTTTGTTTAGATATTAATAGATAGAGATTAAAAATATTATAATTAATAAATTTATAGCAATTATTAGATTATATAATATATTTTTAAATAAATATATATATATAATTATAACAGTTTAATTACTTTATTATTAATAATAATAATAATTAAAAATAATAGTTATTTTAATAAAAATGGAAAGTTTTATAAATAAATTAATTTCAATTTATGGATTAATATTTATAATTATTATTATAAAAATTAAGATAAAATCAGATTCACTAATATTTTAATACACACACACACACACACACACAGAGATTATAGCTAAAAATTGTTGACCATATTTACCTGTATATGATATGATAAAAATACCAGTGCTTTCACCTATATATATATAATGGACAGTTAGCTCCCATACTAATCCCAGTGGTCAATAGCCTTTTAATACAGTAAAATATTTTGATTTAATATATATATATATGTTTGTTTGTATATGTATTTAAAAATATCTAAACAAAAATCAATTGGGTGTTTATCTAAAATTATTATCTAGGTGCATCATTTCAATGCCAATGTCAACACTATACATGGCACAGGTAGTACTACCTGTGCTCTGATGGTGACTGAGTATATAAATAGGGAAGTCATATACTGATTTTGATTACCATTTAATTTTTTTACAACACAACACAGTTAACAATTTGTATTAATAATTTTTTTGTTGTTGGTCTACCCCCACCCCACCCAAAAAAAAAGTTATTGTGTGTCTGAGTGTGTGTGTGTCCTCTATCTATACATTTTTGATTTCAAACATGTATAGCATTTTATTAGTATTATCATCGGTGGCCATCAGTGTATTGGCCGATAGTCCCCCAGTCGGCGGCGGTGATGTTGTTTCGGTTCATTCATCGGTGGTCAAGGATATCATGGCCAGGGCTGCCTCAGCCGTAGTAGTCCAGCCACAGGAAAGGAACAGTAGTCCTCCACCGGCAGGTATAGTAATTAACATATTTATATGAGTTTCAAAATAATTTACATCCCTGTCCTCTATCTAATAGTCAGGTGCAGAGCCAACGAAATTGTTACCGACTGTCTGACACCGTGCGAACCGACCTGCGAGCACCCAAACCAACTGCCCTGTCCAGAGTTTACTGCCCGTCGGACCGATGCCGGCACTACCGCCGGTGATTCGGCCGATGATCTTCAGCCAATTGAACGCAACAGTGAACCGCCGGTTAACTGTCGACCCGGTTGTGTATGCGATCACGGATTTGTCCGCAGCGTACTGGGCGTATGTATACCCCGGAGCCAGTGTCAGCGTATGTATATCCCTATATAACTTATAATATAATATTAATTTATATATATATATTTAATTAGCCATTTGTAAGCCGCACTCGCATTTCGAGTCGTGCGGACCCCGATGTCAGATCACATGCGAGTTTGCCGAACCCCGAGCTTCGACTGTCTGCTCGCAGGACAGCGATGTCTGTGTTAGCGGCTGTTTCTGTGACGCCGGTTATATCAAAGACATCCGTACCGGTCAGTGTGTCCGACCACAGGACTGCTGTAAGTATCTATCAATCAATCAATCAGTCAGAGACAGACAGACACATAACTACCTGTTTTATTATCTGCCAAACAATACTAATTATAATTATAATTCAAATTATTAGCCCAATTATGTCCCGACAATGAACACTATAGCGATTACGGTAATCCTTGTGCACCGTCCTGTCAACAGCTGGTTGTACCGCCAGCTAAATGCCTGAACTATTCGCAACATTTGCCCGGCTGTTACTGTAACCAAGGATTCATTAGGGATTGGTCATCAAAACGGTGTGTACGCGACTGGGAATGTCCGTCCATGAAGTGTCCATCCACTGATGAACAATGGTATCAATGTAGGCCGTGTACACCTAGTTGTACCGAACCCAAGCGGGTGTGTACTGGCCAGTGCCAGCCGTCGGGTTGCGATTGTAAACGTGGTCTATATAGAAATCCAACCACTGGCCAATGTATCCGATTCTGTGATTGTCCACAATTTCATCGGTAAAATTTCTAATTGATTAGTTAGAAAAAAAACAATTGGATTTTTTTGTTTAATTGAATTATTTATTACTAATTTTTTAAATATGATTTCATTTCATTTTATTTTTTTTATTGAAAAATAATTTTGACTAATATTTTTTAGACTAAAACTTAATTTTTCAGTTTTTTAAATAATATTTTTAAGTCAATATGTTTTCTAGTGATTTAATACGATATATATATAAATATATATTTTGTTTATTATTATTATTACTGTTATTATTAGTTAGATTAATAAAACAGATTAATAATAATTAATATTTATTATTATTTAATTATCATATTTATGTTTATACTGTATTTAATAATAATTATAATAAAATAAAATTTAAATGATATTTTAACGATGATTTATATTTTAGAAAATTTATTTTTTAAAATTTTTTTAACATTAAATGTATTTTGAAATTTATTTGTTTCTCACTAACAAAAAATAAAATAAATAAATAAAATTAAATTTTTTTCACAAACTAAACAATTTGTGCCTCAATTTATGGTTAGATTTTTTTTACTTTTTTTTACTAAATCATTGGTTTGTTTGGTGAGGAAAGTCATCAACAAAAACAAAACAAAAAAAAAGTTTATTTTTATTGAAGTCAATCTTCATTATGGTTTATGGATATAATGCCCGTAAAAAATACTACATTATATATATATATATATATATATAATATATATATATATATAAATATATATATATATAAGACACTCACTTATAAAAGTACAAACAAAATAATATATATATATATATATATATATATATATATATATATATATATATATATACAGTATATATAGTAAAAGTCATATCCATTTGGTATTTGATTGTGTGATTTACTCCAATAAAACTAAATAAATATGTTTTATTTATATACACACACTGTATATATATATATACTGTATATTATATATGTCTCAACATTAGTTGTTGTTTTTGTTTTTATTTTTTTTATTGTGTTAAATTTGAAAATATATGTTCAATCAAATCAAATCAAATAATACCCATTGAAAAAAAATCAGACATTTATGATGTACTCCTATATATATATAGTATATATTGATATATCATATATATACTGTATATATATATACAAAAAAATCCTAACACTGATCCTATGGTATACTAATATACAGTAAACTAAACGACAAATAAATACTTTCATATTTTACATTTAAACTCTCTCTCTCTCTCTCTCTCTCACTATTTATCTATCTTTTATCACCATATCCTCTAAACTATTATATATAATAATAATAATAGTTTACTATAGTTTTGACCATCAATTGTATTTTTTGGAGGGGGGGGCATTACTAGGGCATCAGTACCTTAAAAAAAACTAAACTAAAGTATACCATAATTTAGTATACACTTTACATTATATTTGTTAATAGTATATAATATACAAAAAAAAAATTCAGACTAAATGTTATTATTTTTATTATTGTTTGGATATTATTAGTATTATTATATAAAAAGTAAATCATGAAAATCATGTGTATATCTATCTATCTATATATATATATACTTCAAACTTGTAATCTATGTGTAATTTTTTTGTTTGTTAAATATTTTATTTATGGCTAACTGTACCGAAAAAACAAACAAACAAATATAGATTAGATTTATAAAGTTAAAACTGTATTATTATTATTATTATTATTTAAGTATAATTTTCACAAATATTTCAAATATTTATTAGATTATTTTTTGAGATTATTGATTAATCTATTGAATATCTAATAAATAATTATTTATATTTAATATTTCAAATAAATAAAACAAAAATCTGATCATTATAGTAGTCACTAAACTATGATATTTGAATATAATACTAATAATTGTTTTATTTAAAAAAAAAATAATTTGCTGTCTATATTAATATAGATTTTATTTTATTATATCATTTATAGATATGTTTCTCTCGAAAAAAAATAATAATAAAATAATTAAGACTAATAAAATATTATTACAGATTCCTAAATGCATAATAAAAATGTTAACAATTAAAAGCAGACAATTATTATTTATTATTTGCTATGAATTTTAATATCTATCTCTCATTTTTAAAATATGATTTGAATATTAATTTCTAGATATATCTGTTAATAATAATATTAATAACATATCATACAATAGTAGTAGTAGTAGTAGTAGTAGTAGTAGTAGTAGTAGTAGTAGTATATGAAATATTAGTGATATACTAACCGTTTCGCATCACACACACACACACACACACACACACACACACACACACACACACACACACACACACACATACATACACACACACATACATACATACATACATACACACACACATACATACACACACATACACACACACATACATACACACACACACACACACATACACATTATACACACATTTTTTCAATTAAGGATCATTAAGCTTATGGTGTGTGTGTGTCATAAAATATTTATATAAAAATTTATAATATATTTCAATCAAAAAAAATTATTATACAGTATATATATAATTCTAGTACACTATATATATATATATATATATATATATATATATATATATATATATAATAAAATTTTTAATATTATTGTTGATATCCAAAATCATTCAAAATAATTGTTATTTCACCAAAAAATCATAAAAATTAAAATGTCTAGTATTATTTAAAAAATTATTATATCAAAAGTTATTTTTAATTAGCAAATTAATTGCTATATCAATAGTTTTGTTGTTGTTATCGATGTATTTGATATACTATTTGCTATATAAAACAAAAATTGATAATCAAATTTATTCAAAAAAACATTATAGTTTATTATCTGATGGTTTGAAAGATTTTTTTTTGGTATAATATTAATATATGTTTTTTATAAACTCTTTTTGTTGTTGTTGTTGTTGTTATAAAATACTGTGAAATAAACGCTAAAAAATAACCTAAATTTCAAAATCATTGCCTTAACAGTTGTTTGAATGAAACATTTTTTTCCGCCAAATACTGTATACATAAAAAAAACAACAGTAAGTGAAGCGATATATATTCAACTCAATCACTACACATACACACACATACACACACACTTACATACATACACATACACACACATACATACACATACACATACACATACACATACACATACACATACACATACACATACACATACACATACACATACACATACACATACACATACACATACACATACACATACACATACACATACACATACACATACACATACACATACACATACACACACACACACTTACATACATACACATACACACACATACATACACATACACATACACATACACATACACATACACATACACATACACATACACATACACATACACATACACATACACATACACATACACATACACATACACATACACATACACATACACATACACATACACATACACATACACATACACACACATACATACACATACACATACACATACACATACACATACACATACACATACACATACACATACACATACACATACACATACACATACACATACACATACACATACACATACACATACACATACACATACACATACACATACACATACACATACACATACACATACACACACACACATACACATACACATACACATACACATACACATACACATACACACATACACATACACATACACATACACATACACATACACATACACATACACATACACATACACATACACATACACATACACACACATACATACACACACACACACACACACACACACACACACACATAGTCCAACCGATTTAATGTTATTTTAAAGATTTTTAAAGTCTAATAATATGAAAATAAAATTTATATTATAAAAAAATACTAAATTTTTTATCGATTACACAGTCAATCATCAAACAATATATAACAGACACTATAATAATAAATATCTATTAATATATAAATGACTTTTGATAGAAATTATAGTCTATATATATATATATAATATTAAGTAATAGTTATTTATTTTATATTTGCACACATTTTTTCCCTGAAAATTGTTGTAATTTATCTTTTTATATATATATATATATATATATTAGTTGTTGTTGTTGTTGTAAAAGTGTAAAATTTTTTTCAAACTAAATAAAAACAAGTGATCATTAATTTTATTGATTTTATTATTAGTATATTATATATCTTATAATATAATAATAATAATAATAATAGAAATGAAATGATTTTCTTCATTATAAAATCATTACTAAATTATATGATATAAAATGAAAATATAAATATAAAAAAAAATAAGTTATCATTAATTTTTAGTCTTAAATAATATACTATATATATAAATAAAACTATTTTGAATTTCAAATATAATAAGAGATATTTAAATTTAAATAATTATTGTTTGACATAAAAATATTAGACATTTTAATTTTCAAATAATAATAATAATAATACATATATCATATATAAAACATTTTATTATTATTTTTTTGTTAAGATAAAACCTTAAATACTATATATATAATAGAAATATATATTATTTTATTGTAATTACTTGTAGTATAATATAAATGTTTTTTTTATAAATACAGTGATCTATTGTTTTGTAAATTAAAATTTTTTCATAATTTAAATAATAATAATAATAAAAAGTTATGTTAAATATTATGTATATTTTTTTCAGTGGTTTATAACTCTGTGAATGGATTTATAATTTGAATTTAAACTAATGTTTATCAAAAAAAAAAGTGAAACAATTATAATATATATATATATATATATATATATATATATATATATATATATATATATATATATATATATATTAATGTCTTGTTTGTTAACATTGTTTAACATTATAGTAGTTATTATATACAATATAATACACATTCAATATTCAGTCATTATATTTATTTATACACAAAATAATAATAATAATAGTTTTTTTTGTTGTTAAAAAATATAACAATAATAATAAT